ATCATCATAGAGTTGGAAAATATGGGAGCTCCAGGATGACAACAAATGGTGTCTTCAACATACAATCATGACGGAAGATATTTTACTTCCTTTACCTTCTACTAGTAGCTATTCAACTTGAGGATATCAACTATGCAAAATTCGGGTTATTCCATCCACTTGATTCAGATGTTGTGTATCTACATTGTTCGAAAATAAAGAGATTAGGAACTGCGAAATTCATCGTGTCATACAACACACGGACCAAGATGATCGAAGTTTAACCTCGGCTTGAAGATGCAAATAGGTATTCAACCTATTACCTTAGGGAAAATGGATTAGCTCCAAGTTTGTATTCGCTTTTAGTTCTAGCGATCCCAACTTGGCCCGTCTCCGTTTTACATCCTATATATAAAAAAGAGATGAGGAATCGACTTACATTTTCTTGGTGGTAATACTGTTGTACCCTATTAGAGTTCAGGATTTTACAATATGATTTTTATTTTTCGTTTTGGATACTTTAACTATTTTAGATTGAGTTATTGGTTTTTTTTTCTTAATATCATTATCATGTTATGGTACAAATGTACACAATTTTCCATGTCTGTTTTTCATATTTGTGCGGTGTCACTAAAAGATATTTTTGCGTATGCGCTCAAATATTTGACGAAATCATGGAAATTCGACAAAAATCCTACTAAATTAAGACAGACCGTAGCAACATGCATCATATATAAGCAGTCTTGAGAAATGTGATTCGGCCAAGAAGTCTGCTTCATGCATGTGGTTGTTGCCTTGTTGGGACTTGGGCGTCAACGATCGAACAGTAAACCGTAAGATCAAACCTTTTCGGACACTTTCGTTTCGTTTCATTGACTTTGTGCATGAAAAATATGCGCAAGTTTCACTGTCTTTTTTCTTTTTTACTTTTTAGGACCCGCACTCCGTTCGTTCACTGCCTTCATTCATGAAAAGTATGTGCATTTTTCGTTTTATGTTTTTTTTTTTTTCATATTTGCATGTTTTCATTATTTTCTTTTTTATTGGATTAGTGCTTTGGCTAAATTGAAGGTAATTCGAAGAATGAGACAGTTAGCTAAAAAAAATTTAAGATTATTGCTATAGTTAAGGATGAAACGAGAGTACCCTTTACCACAGCCCTTTTGGTTTTCTTATTTTCATTTTGATTAGAAAAACTTAGACTTAAAAGTCCATATAACATCCACACACAGGAAAAAAAAATCACGAAAAAAGTAACTAACATATGGAAAGCAAATTAGAAGATGCATAGAACAATTGACTAATAATTAATTAAAGACATGCAGCACACCTATAAATCAATTTAAAAGAAGGTAATTTTGGAGTGTCAATGTTGGGACTCGTGTGTGGAGAAACATTTTAATACAAACTAGATTCTCAACCCAGGTGAATGCCCGGTCGGCTAACATATACAACTATTTAAATTAAAAAAAAAAATCTGAAAAGAGACAATAATTTTAATAGTAGGTAATTCTCATTTCGGGATGCTCAGCTACATAACACATTAAAAATGTGTAAGTGCAGTTTAACACCATCATATAATTGGAGAATAGCCATTTTCTGCGCTCTAATATTTGAAGTTTGATGGTGTCCTCGGTGATTGACGAAGCATGGATCTGCATGGTACTTTAGGACAGACGACAACGATGATCTAAGTGGCGGCGGACAGCCTAAAACCTGCAAGACAGAGCCTTGGGTGTCTCTCGAGGGTAGACCCTCCGATACTTAAGTCAATAAGAGAATAGAGAGAGTAGAGCGAGGTGTGTGTATCGTGTGTAGAAGGTGTAGAATATAGGTAGAGGATATCAATTATGAGAGAGGCACCATCTCCTTATATAGAGATGGTGTTACCTGTTTCCTTAAACCTAGTTGTAATAGGTTTCGGCGGTGGCTTAATCTCCAAGTAACCTAATCCTAGGCCCAATAGGGCCTAGGGTTTAATACTGACTCGTCAAGTGCCCTTAACCAGCCATATTCTCGAGACTCGCTGAGAAGAATAGGGGTTACTATGAGTGTTAATGTCTTCTCAAGTTTCGTGGTGTTACCCCAGTTCTCGAACTCTTTCATTCTCGGGTGTCACCTATATAAGATAAAGAGAGTAGAATGCCTCGAGGAGGTCTTATCTTAGAGAGTTCCTTGTTTGTGCAGTGCACCGTGAGTATCCTTGTTTGCACGGTGGACCGCGAGAATTCTTATTTGGGCGGTGGACCCCGAGTGTGTAGATCATTGAGATGCAATACAAGATAATAATTACATATGATCCCTCATATTTCTTGCCCCAAGGGTATGTCCCCATTTGTGCCCCTGAGTACATTGTCCTAGTTGAAGGGTGATAGGGTTTTACCGCGAGAGGGTTGATAATTTGAAGAACTCCTTTAATCGTACTAAAAAAGATATCGTGATATGATAGTAATATGATAATGATATCATCAGTAGATTGATTTAAAGATTCGAGAAATATATTAAAAAAGGTTTGAGAAGTATCTCTGTCTCAAGATAAATTGATTATTCGAGAAGGTGTTACCTCGATTCTTAGAAGGTAGTAGTTGAGTAGATAAAAGTTGAGATACATCTTCTCGAACACTTTGAGTAGTAGTATGGTGCTCGAGGGATGGTTGCCCCTTCAAGGAGATGTATCTCTCAAAACTTCAATCTTCGAAATTGCCCCTTGTTTCGAAGGCCTTGAGAGCTTATCTATAAAATTATAAAAGTATTAGGGTTAATCAACTATAAGATAAAAAATATAGACGCTGAATTTCAAATTTTCTAAAATTATTGAAATTCTTCTTAGTTGATCCTCCTTCCCCTTGTCGGCCTGTTCGTTGGTATGTTTAGGTCGGCATGAAAGTCGACAGCAGTTTCGTCGGCTTCATTTTCAGCTGGAGTAACTCGACAAGAAAGTCGCCAGAATGGTCGTCAATCCGATCGTCGATTGGAGGCAGTTGATGTGGAAGTCGACGACGGTCAGTTTGCAATTTCTAAATTCTTGATTTTAGCTTTTCGCATACATGGACTTGCAGATCATATTAACCCGATGATCACCGTAAAGTACCAATAAATTTCAGCTTCGTTTCAAGAAATTTATTTGGTTGTGCAGACCAAACAAATCGCTCCCACTGGGCGTGCCACTTGACGAAGCATGGATCTGCATGGTGCTTTAGGACAGACAACAACAATGATCTAGGCGGCGGCGGACGGCCTAAAACCTGCAAGACAGAGTCTCGAGTGTCTTCCAGGGGTAGACTCTCTGATACTTAAGTCAATAAGAGAGTAGAGAGAGAGGTGTCTGTATCATGTGTAAAAAAGTGTAGAATATAGGTAGAAAATATAAATTATGAGAGAGGCACCACCTCCTTATATAGAGGTGGTGTTATCTGTTTCCTTAAATTTAGTCGTAATAGGTTTAAGCAGTAGCTTAATCTCAAAGTAACCTAATCCTATGCGCAATAGACCTAAGGTTTAGTTCTGACTCTGTGAGTGATCACTCCCTACCAGCACGGCATCATATAAACATTTATGATTCTGAGCTTTGCACCAAAAACGAAAAAAGTACCGATTTGCATCCATCTATTTAAGCCATAGCAATATGCAAAAAGTGACAACATAAACTTTTACTTCATGTCCTTCAAGATAGAAAGAACTGATGAACTATCGTAATAAAAATCTCCATTTGACATGAAGATGTACTCGAGCAAAACAACACTGCTCAATTAACTATCGTAATAAAAATCTCCATATTCCTATCTTTAGAAAGTTGGAAAAGAACACAATTAGAGTCTTGTAAACTAAATTATACTTTGATCCCCTAGTTGGAAGACCGCCACCACTTGCTTCAGCGGAAAGAAGCTTCAAGAGTGAGTAGCACCAATAACTGGCCTACCGTGCTTGGCAGGCTTGTATGAAGTGGAAAACTCAGAAAGATAGTAACCAATCAATTTTACCTTCATTTCACATGTGTTTAATGATTTTGCATTATACACAGACACAACTGCCGATAATCTCATGAACTATGATCATGATACGCATGTGTCTTCACAAGGCCTGCTTTCTCAACGGTTCAGCCTCACATTTGGCCTTCCTAAGCTTCTACATTCAAAGGCACGGGCATCCTCTTTAAATATCTCTATGAAACCTTCATACGAAACTAATACAAAACTGCAACCCGGAACTGAGTCATTTAATCATTTCATTAAAAACAATGAGATTAATAGATGCATATAAACAGAAGAGGCTCATTGTTAGCACCAAAAAAATAAACAATATGCCTCAAAGATGAAATTCATCAGATTTTGGAAAACATACTAACATTTCAATAAGATTCCGTATTAGAATGATGTGCTTTCCTTTCCTTTTCAACTCTTCCATTTAACCAAGGTAAAAGTTGTTTAGCCATATGCGCGCTAAAGATTTGATATCAGTGAATTAAATAGGATTACTTGAAGAAGCTCTTATGGCTTCACAAAGCACTCTTCAAAGAGTTGGAAAAAAACACACATCAATCTCACAACTATTCACAAAATATATACATAAACCAGAATGTTACTAAACGTATATAGTCATCAATGTTCAAGTCTTTCCTAAACCACATGAATAAGAAAGAAAATTCTTATCCTGTTGCTAACCACTGATCTAAAATCTTAACCAGGTTCCTCGGATATCATCAATTTGGAATCTCATCCCACAATGCTCTTCACCTAATTCAAAAAATCGGTGATTCGGTGTCTGCCGTCGACGTTGTTGGATCGTTGCCTTCAGATCGGCCGCCTACCAAATACACCAATTTTAGAATTCAATTGGGGGAAGGAGAGATTATTGAAAGCATAAGATCAATACGTTTCCATCTTAATTACTCGTATATTATATCGATCCCTAGCCATCTGTAGCCATCAACAACGCGATACTCGTGGCTCCCAGATCCAGTCGACCTAAGGTTCCTTTCAAAAAAAACCAAAAAGGCCAAATCCATCATTCGACCCGACCCGATGGATCGGAAATCGCCTCCACCTGAATCCGACATCGATTCCGATGGAGTAGAACTCGGTCTTTCAGTGCCAACCAGTGATTATATTCCACACCGTGGTCAGCGCGCGAAGATCCTCAATCCGGAATCCGTCAAGCCTTTCCCTGACCGCCCTCGCTTCCCGCCTAATTATAGGAGAGACATGTTGGGAGACAAAGGACCCTTGGCTTTTGCTGTTATTATCCGAGACGGGGTTTTGTTTGCTGTTAATCATACTCATCCAGGTATATATGTTGGTTTTAATATATACACTAATTCAGCTGTTTGTTTACACTTTTAGAGTACCTGAATCGCTTTAGATCTCTACCACTTAATGGTGATTTCAGTATCATTATCTGATTATTATGTTTTACTTTGGGTAAATGTCAAGCCCCGAGCATTATCACTTATACTCTTAACTTTGTCTCTTAAAACTCATTATCAGTTCGTCGAAGGGACCCTCATATTTTTAGTCCTCTGGCTGTTGCAACTATTTCTGGAGGAGATCCTCTTGACTGCCGCAATTTACTGAGAGAGCTGCAAGCAAAGTGCATGAAATACGAACGTGGTAAGATGATGCCCGGAGCCTCAGTTAAAGAGGCAAGACGGTTGATGCTCCAGCTTCTCTCTGGTCGCTATGAAGTGGGACTCGTTGCCGGGTGGGACGACAAGAAGGTATACACATCTATTGTTCTTTCCTTGTGCCCGATTAGATTAGATTGGGGTTGGTCGGTATCACCTTGGTTCATCCCTCTTACTCTTATTATTCTTGTAGAAACGTGCTACCTGCTACCTTGTGGATGGTATGGGGGGACTAGTGAAAGGGCACATTTTGGCCACTGGATGTGGATTCACGGAGTTGTATGCTTCTATGGATGTGCGGTTTTTTTATTTTTGCAGGCCGAGATCATACTTTTGAAGGGATTTTGAAAGGATCATGTAGACCCGAGTACGATTCCTTTTTACTTGTTTATCATCCTCATTCTAGCTTACTATGTCATCTGCTAAGTAATGGTTTTGTGAATCTTGATTTTTTTATTTTGTTCATTTTTTTATCGGTAGAGACTATTCCGATTGGGCTAAATGGTCTCGGTATGAAGCGGCAGAGTTTGCCAAAAGAACAATGTGCGAATTGGCGTATAATGCTCCTGACAGTGGAGATTTTGCTAGTGGTATGAACGGTCTCCTCTCTTGCTTTCGTTTTTTACCAAGGATCGGTAGGTCCATCAATTTTTCTTTAGTTTATTTATTTATTTTTGACGGTGAGTGCATTTTCTTGCTGCTTTAAGTGTATTGTGTAGGAGCTAAGAAGGTTAAAAAGCTTAAATTGAACATACCGGTAAAAGATGCTGCCATATGCTTGGCAGTAACTTATAGGGCTGTTCTTTTGAAGAAAATCGACCCGAACCGATTTGAACCGAACCGTTATTTTGGATCGGTTCGAAAATGAGGCATTTTTCTTTTGGATCATCATCGGTTTGGTTCGGTTCAGTTCGTGTTATGTTTCGGGTTTGAACCGAATTGACTCGAAGCAAACCATTTCACTAATGATGACGTCATCAAAAGATACGATGATGTCATCACGCCGGCGCCGGTAATAGGTCATCGGAAAAAATAAAATTCCCGGCGGCTTTGCCGGAATTTTCGTGGGAAGTTGTACCATTGGCGGCTGATTGCGGTGGTCAAAAGTTGTCGCCGGTGGTCAACGATGATATTATTAAATTATTTTTTTGGTTTGGATTTGATTCGGTTCAATTTGGGTATTTGTTTGACTCGAACCGATCCGAACCATTCCATCTTTTAAAATCTTTGATCCGAACCGATCTGCACCGAAATTAAAATTTCGGTTCGGTTCGAATCGGGTCATCGGGTCGACCTGAACCGTGGTTCAAAATGACCAGCCCTACCTATGGGAAGTGGCTCCGCAAAGGTGAGAATGGTTGGACCATGCCATTCCCCAGGGGTGATGGCTCTAATGATCCCATTCCTGATGGCAATGGCGATGGCGATGGCGACAGAGGGGATGGGGGCGATGGCGATGGCGTTGGCATTGGCAATAGGGATGGCGATGGCGAGACTAGGAGCATGATAACTAATTAGAAGATATGAGACTGAAATGTTTGTAAATTTTATTAGAAGTTTATTATGAATGGAGACCTTGGATTTGTGTGTAAGATCAATGTGGACTTTATACACTAATATATATAATTTTATATTATAAGATATCTTAAAGTACCAGCACAATTAAAGTGATCTAAATAAGTATACTTAAGTTTTGGCTTATGATAATAAATTAAGGTGTGGCCCAGTACTGTGTAGAAATCCTAAGGGCCCTGTTTTGTGATGGGTGGAACTGGAAGCCTTATATATTGGTTGTGGTCTCCGAATGAACCGTCATGCCAAATCTCGACTCCCAATTTGCCAGAGGTTCCCGCAAGGGCTTGACGGAATTATCTGAAAGACCAAACTCGGATTAATGTTCTTGCCACTTCAGATTAAGGTATGCTTCCGTTTTCGTATAGTTCTCGATAATCTGATATGAAGATCTCTACGGTTTATGGATTTATTCCAATAAGTGGTATCAAAGTTCCTTTCATATTAATTATTGGGAAATTTGGTTATAAGGTTAATTTGGAATTTCGGTTAGTCGATCGAAAATTGGGAAGGTTTTTCAATTTAGTTGGTTTCGTAAAAGCAATTTTTGCTTTACGGTTCTCGCTAAAGTTATCAATTTTGGGTCTTTTGTGGCCGACCGAGATAAACTATTTGTTTAGTTGTTTTTGTGTTTAGTAATTTAAATTAAACTCGTTAAGATGTGAGAAAACTTATTCATGGGCATTAGGATTTGCGTGCTTCATGAAATCAATTTGTATTCCTTGGTTATAAAAGCTTTCTTGCTATGAAGACTCAAATAAAATGATAATTATTAAAGAATTCAAAGCCTCAAGGATGCACGCACGGTTTTGATCTTTTTTGGTGTATTCAGTTTATGAAATCAATTACTTAATTGCATTAGCTCTTTTGGTTTCGTGGTATTCTGTTAAAGCTTCTCTTCAGTTCTGATCATGAATTTTGTAATTTACATTGATGAATTACTATGGGAATAATTAGGTTATCCTTGAGCAGTTTTGGTTTGGTGGATGACGCAAATTATTTTCTTTATTCGTTGCGTTCTATGATTAGTATTAATTTTAATCTGAGGTGGCTGCTATTGATAAATTTTAAAGGCTTGAAGCAAGTATAATCAAAGAATAGATTTTGGGACTGTGGCCTCGGCTGAGAAAGTGTTGTTTAATAGTTTAATCAACTGATTCAATTAAATTTATGGTTTTGATTTCTAGTTCAGTGCTTCAGTGAAATATTCAGTTAACGATTTTTGATGCTTCGGTTATTACATGAATGCTTTCTTCCGTAATCAGAATCGAAGGAAAGTTTGTATTTTTTGGTTCAGCTCAGGTCCTTAAGGCATTAAAAATTTGGGTTCTTTGAATTCAGAGAAGGTCCAGTTTTTTTTTTATTTTTTTTTATTTTTATATATTTCATCTGTTAACGATTTACGCTGACAGTATGAATAAGGTTTCATTAATGTTTTTTTTTTTTTTGAAACTACGCATCTAGTGTCTTTGATAATTAAAGAATAAATTTGTATACAACACAAAAGAAAAAAACTCCAGTTGTTCATGTTTGTTGCATTCTGGATTGTACACAAAATTATGTTCACTAGACACGGGTTATTAGGACATACACGGCATGGATCATATATTCTTGATCTATTAAGGATCTATTAAGGCGTAGCAATTTTTTATGCTTTGGATAATAAATGCACATTTAACCATTTAATTACTGAAGTTTTACGGTTGGGAAATTATTGCTAAACAGCCCGTGTATGCATGCAAAATATATATTTGGTCAAGTTTGCTGTTTTGACTATGGCTTTGGTCGACTTTCAGTTAATTAATATATATATATATATATATATAAATATTTACTTACGATTAATGTTTAAATTGGCATAAAGAAAATCTATCGTAAGAAATCAAGTATTATTTAAATTGATTGATTGATACAATATGTCACCAAAGTGACTTCTTTTGTTTTGATTAGTTAATTTAAAATACTAAGATGACAGTTACGTATGTTTTAATTTCATGCGGATAATGATCGGCCTAAAAGAAGTTCATTATTTGACCGAAATCAAAATATACCTGTGGTAATAAATATGTGGCAATTATTATATTTTTTCATGTGAATAATAAGTCGGTCCAAAGAAAGGCTTATTATTTGACAGGAGTGAATTGTCAATATTTGATTACTATGCCAAGAGTACCACTTGCAAATTGATGTTTTTGTCCAAAGACTAAACCCAATGTTGCGCTCGGTATCTTGTAAATAGGAATGCCAACTTGAATTTACTAATCATGTGATATTTGGTTTTAAATGTGAGCTTGTATTTTGTTATTTTAGGTACAGTTAATTCCGCTATAATTATAATATCTACTTCAAATAACTCCATTAGGATACAAGAACTAGAGAGACATATAATTTTAGAAACATTAGTGAGCACTGTAAAATAATGCAAACTTTTTCCTATTATAAAGTATTTTGTCAAAAATAATAAGGTGGAAACGAGCATTCTTTCTGGGTAACTTGTTTTTATAAGGTATAAGGAAAATGGAAAAATAAGGAAATGAATTATTTAAAAGTATCATCTCGAATTAAGACTAAAGACACTAAAGTTATGGTTAATCTCTCTCAAACACAGTGCAGTTAGGTTAAGAACAGTTTTACTATTACCAATATCTTAATGAGCTCATTTGGTTTTGTGTATAAAAAAGAGAGATTGATTACATTTAAAAAGAGATGATTATAAGTGCTTCAAATATATTTAAAATTTTGGAAAATAAACTAATAGGAAAAGAAGAACAATTAAGTGGTAGTATACAGTTTCACAAAAGAAGCAAATTAAGGAATTAAATTTGGTTGATAATTTTGTGATAGTGCTTCTCTGTTTGACTTTAAGAATGTTTTTTTTAAGGTTCATTTGATTTTGGTACATGTAGACATACTTAATGGGTGGACTCTGGTAATACTGCTCATACAAGTGTATCTACCTAAGGTTGTTTGAATCATCAAAAGGCAATTGATGTTGAAAGACACACCTATATGGAACATTGGTGAGTCAATTACGGTTGAGGTAATACATTTTTAGGTTATCATTAAAAACTAAATTTTATTTGGACTTGAGAGAGACTTTCATTATTCCACCTATTAGGTAGAACTCAATTTATGTTTCCAAATTGAACAAAATCTGGTTACTTAGATATTTTTTATAACAATCTGTTAGTCTATTTTAAAATTCAAAGAAAGTCAATTCAGTTCTTTATTAAGTCACGGTAACCTTTATTTATTTAAGACCATTGCTTCAATTAACCAAACATTGCATGATAATTATGGTGTACAAAAAGAAAATTTAGTAATGGGAATTTCGTATTAGTTTGGTAAAACTGTTTAAGGCACTTGTTTTAGACAAATAATAAAGTTAGCAAAAATTCTTAAATCACTTGACTTATCAGATTCTAAAAATCTGCGTTATGTGTACTAAAGAAGAACAAACAAATAGCAAAAGATTGGGTGTCATAAGGTTTTCAGATATTGTTAGAACTAATACATAAAGTCATATGTGGAGCATTCATTACGGTTTTTTTTATGAGATGGTCAAACATATTGTATTTTGTTCAAAACAACTTTTCATGGTTACCTTTCATATCATTAATGTGAAGCACTAAGACACTTAGACATGTTCAAAAATCTTCAAGGTGAAGTTGAAAATCAACTTTGCAAAAGAACTAAAGTCTTCAGATTTACCATTATGGCAAATACAATGGTAGATATAATACCTTAGGTGAACTATGTCTGGAGTCTCTCCAAATTCCTTGGTGGTTACGGTATTGGCTTATAGTACACCATGCCAAAACAAATCTACATTAATGGTGTTACTATAAAACGAATTCGGAAACTAATGTATAAAGTAAGTAGTATGACAAATCCTACACTTACTTAACTCACTCTGGGAAAAAGGTATAAAGACTGCAACTTGAAGATTTAACAGAGTTCTAACTAAATTAACAATCCTTATGAATTTGCAAATAACCTATCATTAGGTATTTGCATGTTTTGGATAAAATAAGTTTCAGCAAGACCACTTAGGTCTACAGAAATGAAAATGGATTCGGTTTGTTACTATTTTGTTGGATACGATAAAAACTTTTAGGGGGCTACAAGTTTTATGATTCCAAAAGTAATCCTTCTTATAGACGGGAAATATCTAATTTCTCGAGAATATTGAGTTTGCAGGGGAAGATAAGGTTAATGATATTATCTTTAAAGGGAATATTTTCATATTCGTATGGTAATTCAAGATAGTGTTAAAACTTTCCCTCATCAAGACAATTGTAAAGGACAAACTCAACAATCTCAAGTACGGATGCCATTAAGGGAATCCAAAAGAGAGAGAAGAAATACAGTTACGATTAATGCCATAAAATAAATAAATACAGTAATTGATAAAAATAACGTTTAGGTGCTTTTCTCATTACCCAAAGGTGATGTAAAAAGATATAAGGGTTATTTTGTCAATAAATAATTTAGTCATAAAGATGACATTATCATATAGAGACCTTCTCTTTGGCATTATTGGAATTCTAAATTTTGAGACTATAGTTTATAATGGCATATATTGTACATTTTATTTTTAGCCTTCATTAGATTGGTATTAAGAGAATGTTTCTTAATGGTGACATTTTGAGATAGTCTATTTGGTGCAACCAGAAAACTTTGTTTGGTGGTTTGCAAATTAAACAATTTCATCTATGGGCTTAAATATATTTCCTGTTAGTAACTTAAGTACCTTTTTATTTTTATCTCATTTGGTTTTGAGGTGAATATTATGATGATTATACACATCACAATTTCAGTGAGAGTTTACGGCAGATAATTAGTACTAAATAAAAAAATTATAATTAGATATTTAGTAGCAGCTATAAGGTTACGCGGAATCATTAAAACATTTACACGCTCACATATCAGAGTTCGATCTAGTTAGAGATCATTCAGTATCCCGACTTCGATTTTGTTTAGTTGCTTATATTGTCACAAGGCTGCAAATACAATATGGTTTTAAAAGGCTTTTATAAATTTATAATGTGGCAATATTGCAACTATTTAGATACTCTAGTAACAATGACATTAAGTCATTAATTGTTAGGTATAAGTTCAGAATGAATAGATTTTTTAAGGAGCACATTCGGACAAACTCCAATATCATAGAATTATTCAGCTAAGCTATTCATTGAGTATCTTGTTCAAATGAGTGCTGTGTCATCTGATGATATGGCGGTTTAGTGGGAGTTTGTAATTCTGGTTTTGTTTTATGGGTTCATACATTTATGAACATATAGATTTATTAATACTGGAGTATAAAGTATAAAGTCTAAAGTAAGGTTTAAGGCATAAGGTATACAGTTTTCAATGTGCTTATATTCCGAAAGTTTGGTTGATCTCAGTAAGGTTTAAGGAGGACCAGTTGGAAATAGGCATGTTAAAGATCGCATTGCATGTAATTTCCATGTTACACATCCACACTTGATCCATGTCATTTAGTTATATTAATATATGGGACCACTGATGGGTTTAGTTGTGATTAGTGCAACGAGTGCCCCTTTGATCCTATGTTAATGTAATTAATGGACGGGATTGTTTCAGATACTTTTATGATAGAAATTTTTTGAGCGCTCTAAAGTGTTTGGTAAATATACAATTATAAGGTATATATATATATATATATATATAAAATATAATATAAGAAAATTCTATGGTCCAATCATAAGTTTTGCACTGAACCATCCACTTAAAATCTATCCAATAAAAAGTAGACCACACCATATGTAATTATGGGGTGCGCAACACTGTAATAAAAACCATTTTACTTATTGACCCGTCAAGAATTAGATAAGTTATTGCAGACAAAATAAAATTAATTCCATAAACTCCGCAACAAGTTGCATTGCAGAATCGTGAAAAAGTTTTAGTCTTTGGTCCCCCAGGAATCCAAGGATAAGATCATCGATATTAATATTGCGTTGGCATGGGTGTGTTGTCAGAAAACAAGCCGCCGTCATTAAGGTTAAGCGTAATTTGAAGATTGCAAAAAAAGAAAATAACGAAAGCTGGCGGTGCTATCATATTGTTTACTGGTTAGCAGAAAAAACATTGCCTTTTATCTCTATTTGGAATTTTGGATGTTGGATTTTTGTTTCAGAGGAATCTTTTTTGGAGGAGAAATTTTAATGATTTTTCCTAGTAAAAAGAAAGAGAAAAACTCGAATTAGACCAGCAAGTTCTCTCCGGATTCACGCTGTTGAGGAGAGTCTTTGTAACTTTTGCAGACCGGACAAAGATAAACTTGTTCTTCCTTCTTAATGTAATTTGTCTCGAATTTATAGTGTCGACAGCAAAGTTCCAGAGGGGAACGTTCACAATGACATTCTTGTGGACGATTCCTGTGTACTAATCATGAAACGAGTTCAACGTTAATTTTTCTGCATATCCATCTTAGTTCCTTCATGCTCTACATTTGGTGTATCATTAAAATCTGTAATTTGAAAAAAAACAAGTTGAGCCACCTGGACCGAAATTGAGTTCCCGGAATGCCTTTTAATTAACCATACTGGATCCTCCATCTTGTAAACACTTCTAATTTTCCATCTGCCTTGAAAAAGTTCTTTTTCGATTCCTTGTTTTGAAGGGTCGACTTTCCTTGTTCCCTCTTGTTTTGAAGGGTCATTGTAAGCCACATGGTTTCTTTTATCCTTGATGCTTGTGGAGCTTTACGTTCTAATGGTTTTCTTTTTTTTTTTTTATCTTCTCTTTGAATTAACCATTTCCAGATTTGTCTCTTAATCTCATTGTCAAAAAGAGTAGAAGTTAGAACAATCTCTTCAGTGGACATAAAAAAAAATAGCTGATAGCTTTGGAAATCGTTGTCTTCTCCCACTGCATTTGCAATTATCGATCACCGATTTGTATCAATTGATTGATAAGGGAGTGTTCGTGGCTTGCATTCGTCATCGTTAATATATACCTCCCTGTCTTGGGAAATTTACTTATACATATCTAAAAAAAAATATGAAGACCAAACTATACCTAGGGTTTTAATTCTGGCCAAAAATAAGACTTTCGCGCTTCAAACACGCGAAAAAATTAAAAATCGCGTTTTGAAAACGCTAAAAAACAAATTTCGAAACGCTAAAATTAAGAACTCGTAATTAATTTAACTTAATCCTAATTAATTAATGGTAAAAGAATTAAATAAATAAAAATTCGCATTTTCAGAGCGCGAAAAAAATTTAAAAAAATATTTTATTTAAATAAAAAAAGAAAATAGTCATAAAAATTTGATTAATTTGCCTAGTTTAAAAAGTTATAGGGAAATTTACTTCAAAAAATTATTAAATTTGAATAATGGTAACACAAAATTTTAAAATTATAATTGGTAATCATTAAATTTTGAATAGAGCTATAAAGAGGAAAATTATATTGATAATTTTAATAACACGAAAAGTAAATTTTGAATAAGACTATAATATTATAATTGATACTCATTAAATTAAATAGAGCTATACTAAATATAAATTATTAAGAGTATGACATAGTTATTATAATGTACTAAATTTTTAAAACATTATATAAAAAATTAAATAATGATTATATTAAAAAATTATATTAAATTTTTAAAAAATTATATTTAAAATGTAATCATTATTTTATAAAATAATTTTATATGAAAAATTTTCAATAATGATAAATGACGTAATTTTATGGATTTAATTAGATTTAATTTAATTTACAAATTGTTTTTATTAATTATGACGGTTTCAATATAAGAAAAAAGCTTAAAATATGAATAAATTTTATTAAATATTTATTATAATTTACCAACGCTTAAGATGAAGCAATTATTGTCTCTTCTTCGGAAACCTCACAGGGGAGACAGCAAAAATGTCACAGCGAGGACGCGGAGGATCGGCGGGTAACAAGTTCAGGATGTCTCTGGGTCTTCCTGTGGCTGCAACGGTGAATTGCACCGACAACACCGGGATAAAGAACCTTTACATCATTTCAGTGAAGGGAAAGAAGGGTAGGCTCAACCGTCTCCCTTCTGATTGCGTCGATGACATGGTTATGGCCACCGTCAAGAAGGGTAAGCCCGATGTCAGTCAGAAAGAAGGTATTGCCCACAGTCATTGTCCGCTAGCGCAAGCCATGGCGCCGAAAGAACGGTGCCTACATGTACTTTGAAGATAATGCTGGAGTGATTGTTAATCCCAAGGGAAACATGAAAGGTTCTGCAATCAGTGGTCCCATTGGAAAGGAGTGTGATGATCTTTGGCCTAGGATTGCAAGTGCTGCCAATGCGATTGTTTAATGCACCGCATCTTAATTTTGAAGAGAATTTTAGTTTACTGAATGTTTGTTTTAGGTATCTGGTACTATTCTTTTGTGGATGTGGTAATTTTAAAAGACGATTGGTATGTAAGAGCTAAGAATTATATCTTTTGTTTGGATAAACTAAATACTTTGTTGTTTGTTTTTTTCTAAAAAAAAAAAAGATGAAGCAACTATTAATTATTGAAAAAATATAAGAAAGTTTGAAGATGTGTTTCGATTTGATCGGCAAAGATGTGTTTTATAAATATTAATTATTGTATTTGCGATGCAGGTGAAATCAAACTATTAAGAATATTAATACAATTCATAACAAAATACTACAAGTCATAACAAAAGGGAAAAAAATAAAACAAGTCATAAAAAAAGGAAAAAAAACATAAATGAACAAAAGGAAAAAAAAAATACAAGTCTAATAATACTACATAAAAAGTCTAGTACCCTACTTCTTCTTGGGCTTTTTAGCCCAAAAATGGCTATAAGTCAATCTATCGGGCTCCTTCGTCACTCTCTGGCCTTTACTCACAGCCAACGGTGGAGTCCCTAGAGTCTGACTCGATCCCTGCTTCTCATGGCGCTAATAACCCTGACCCTCAAACTGATCATCCTGGTCTGCATCCTCAGCCTCATCCTCAGCCTCATCTTCACCCTGACTCTCACGCTCACCTCCAGCTGGGTCATCAGCCTGATGCTGACCCGCAACACCCTCGAACATATTCGAAAGAAAGTTACTCGTGTAATGTATCGACTGGCCATCTAGCAAACTCTGCTGGAACCCAGAAAAGTCAATAAAAGCATCTCCAAACTGAGGCTGAGAAGTCTGAGGGGAGGAAAACTGAGTGAAGGCAAAATGGGACTGCTGGTGCTGGGGAGACATAATGGGACGGTAAAACGCCTGTTGGGTCGACGAAGAATGATGTGGAGACTGATGGGATGAATGATGTGGAGAATGATGTGGAGACTGATAGGATGAATGATGTGGAGACTGATGGGATGAATGCTGTAGAGAATGGTGTGGAGACTGATGTGGAGACTGATGGGATGAACCGTCAGTGAAGGGGATATGAGACTGCTGATGCTGGGAGGACTGATGTGGCTGAGTGGGCGTGATTGTCTCTTGCCCCCCACGCCCACGCTTAGACCTGCGTGAACGTCTCGGAGGTCTGGGTGGTGGATATTGCTAGGTCGGGTCTACAGGTGCAAGTTCTTGACTCAAAATGCCATGAACAATGCATCGAGGAAGCTGGGCAGTTGTTGAAAATTACTTTCCCATGTACCATACAGAGCCTCAAGTGCTTTTCTTCTACCATGCCATGCCTTCTTGTAGCTACATTCGACTTGGTACCTCTTCAAAACTTCTATTTGAATTTGGGCAACTGCAAAATCTGGATGTTTTCGCACATTTTGGGCAACCAGTCTAGCAATTATAGAATACGTGACGTTTCGGGACTCGTTTCTCTTGTTTGCCCCAAGACAGTTGTGGGAATCGGACCATACAACCATTTTCCAAGTATCGGCGGCCTTCTATAGCGAAACTCGTGCCTTCCACAGGCAATCATAGCGGTGAACACGCTCTTTCGGATATTTGGGTCCACAGGTCTCGCATTCGACATACCATGTTCGTTTAGAGCTCGTTTTCACCCGGAAAGTCCGACCATGTACCAAGTTCCATTCTCCCACTGCTGCTTGTGCCTCAGGCTTGTTGACGAAATGTATATCAAGGCCTAGCGTCAACGGATTGCCATCCCACATTTTAATCCCATCACAATCTACTTCCTCTAAAGTCTTGTCCCATCCACTTATGTCATCGAAAACATATGGGACTGAAGAAGATGACTCAAAATCAGTGTCGTCATCTGAGTCCTCATCCGATGGGACGTACTCATCATCACTGCTTTCGACACCCCCGCAATCTTCATCTTCATCTGCATCTTCATCTTTATCTTCATCTTCATCTCCATCTTCATCTTCATTGTCTTCAACTGTTCTACCACCACTAGTGCTGGCACCAATATCCTGGCCAAATGTACTTGCATAGACATGGCATGTTCTCTCAACATTTTCAGGGTACAATTCTGGCTATTTATCAGCACAAAGATAAATGAACCGAACAGTATTATCATCATTAATGTGCACACGAGACCTTTTTCCTAACCTCTCCGTCCATACCAAAGAAAAATCAATATACAGCCCTTCTCTATCAACTTCCATCACACCACATACCTTATCAACAAGTTCCGAGAAATCTAACATACGATCAATGATAAGATAACCGTCCGGCGCATCCCGCTGTACCGTGATAGTCCCATCAGATTCAGTTGTATAAGTAGTATTCCAGTATACTTTCAGACGAACTGTCTCCGTGAAAGACATTTGCGGCCTGCAAAATCAATTCCTACGAAATCAGAACACTAGCATACATTTTGAATTTTAGCCCTGCGGAAACAATATTTACCCCGTTTTGAGATTTAATAATTTCAAAAGAACAACTATACGCCTGAATTTACAAATTCATTTCTATGCTAAAAATTAATATTAAATCTAAACCTTATGCCCAAATTACATAATTTATTCTTATGCTAAAAATATTCAAAAATTCAATATCATTATTATAATTTTATTTTATTTTACAGAAATCGATATATAATAATTTACAACGGTCATCTAATTTAACATTCTATTAACTAATATTTCTTTCAATTCACTTTATCAGCCTAATTAAAAAATCACCGTTAATTGACTAAATCACAATTATTCATTAACTAATAATAATGTGTAAATCATCCTATGCTCACAATAAGGCATAAAAAAGTACATGTTTTCTATAACGAAATAAACTTACCTGAATGTTGAAACTTAGGATTTTAAATAGGCTTCAGGACTCTAATCAATCTTCTTTAACTTCAGAGCAACTTCTCAATTTGAAGGAAATCAGAGCTTTCACGGATTCAGTCAAGTCCTTCGGAGTGAAACTTAAAATCGGAGCTCAACAGAATGAAATAAGTTCAGGAAGAAAAATCGGAGCTCAACAGAATGGAAAAGTTTGCGAAAAAATGCTGTTATTTTGCTTGGTTTGGTATATGAATCTTAAATTTCGCGTTTACAAAACGCGAATACACTCAAGACTTATCATCAAAATACACGTGGAGCCGAATGAGTGGATGAGGAGATTTTCTGGATATTTTCGCGTTTTTAAAATGCTAAAATCATTTTTTCGCGCTTTCAAAATGCTAGAAAATTTTTTTCGCGTTTTCAAAACGCTAAATTGTTATTTTCAAACCGCAATTTATTTAAAATTTAAAATTTATAGCTTTTCGCCTTTTTAAAATGCGAAAATAATTTCTCGCGTTTCTGATACGCTATTTACGTTTTTCGCGTTTCCAAAACGCGAAAAATGGTTTTCCTTTTTTAATTCAATTTTTTTTTCCTTTCGTCCCGGTTGAATTTGGGGAAAACATAATTAAAAGAATTCGCGTTACACAAATGCGAATTGTTAATCTAATTTTCTTGTTTCGCATTTTGAAAGCGCGAGAACATTATATTTGTCCAGGTTTTAAACCCTACACATTTTTTGTTCCACAATTTTGGGTTTGACTCACCCAAAAGTCAAGCACCCCCTGTCTTACTGGTTTTTGGTTTGAATAGTGAATCAGAATAGAAAAAGAAGAAGGAAATTATAGAAATATAATAGCCTTTGCTATGGAACTCAATTTTCAATATGTATCATGCTAGAGACTGTTCTGTATGTTATGAATAGCATCTTTGTTAACGCAACTTTGTTTTGTTAAAAGGAATGTTGGCATATATAAAATTTAGGGAGAAACGTAATGAATAATTTATAAAATTTATCCAGTATTTTTAGGCTTTGTTTCTTTTACTATACACCATAATTAATCCAACGGTGATGATGATTCTTTCTCATTCAATAGTTATAATTATTGACTGAACCATTTAGTCAACTGGACCGTAGTCGCTCCCATATATATATATATATATATATATAAATATATGTATATATATATGGTGTATATTCTAAGTAGGAGATTGGAAGATCAATGTGGACTTTATCCACTGATATATATAATTGCATATTATAAGCTATCTTAAAGTAGCAGCCCAATTAAAGTGATCTAAATAAATATACTTAAGTTTGGGCTTATGACAGTAAATTAAGGTGTGATCCAGTACTGTGTAGAAACCTTAAGGCACGATTTCCTGTTCTGTGATGGGTGAAACTGGAAACCCTATATATTAGTTGTGGTCCCCGGATGAGCCGTCATGCCAAATCTCGACTCCGCATTTGTCAGAGGTTCCCGCAAGGGCATGACAGAATCATCTGGAAGATTAAACTCGGATCAATATTCTTGCCACTTCACATTAAGGTACGCTTCAACTTTCGTATAGTTCTCGATAATCTGATATGAAGGCCTTTACGGTTTATGAATTTACTCCAACATTGTGCGGTTTCTTAATTTATGCTTGTGAAATTTAAGGAGGTTATGATTAAACATTAATCAAGTTCCAAGAGCCTTTTTCTTTACTTTTGTCATAAAGGGAATAAAACTGCCGGCTTTATATGTTTGGCTTCATGAAATGTGGTGTGTAGATTCAGATTATAACGCGTGAATGGCTCCCCCAAGCCTTCAAAGATAACTGTTAGAGGTGTGTATAATAGTTACTCTGTTGTACTTAGGATTCAACAGCGGATGTATTGATGGCCAAAAAAAAAAAAACATTTTCACGCTCAAAGATAGCTGTTATATACAAAAGGATGTGCCCTGTTGCTCTTTAACTATTAATCGTATTAAATCAATAGAGGAATTCCTGAATACATTGTTATGTTAGGTTTGTCTTATCACTGTTCACTTCCAGAGGCGCCAGGAGAAAATTTTTTTAATTTTCCTGTTCTTCTGGTTTTAAGTTTTGATTTATGCGCTGAGAGGGTTGTCTGAAACAGGAAAGGCATTAATGCTGCCAATTTGCTAATGGATGTCGTAGTTATTCTGGGTTCTGGAAACAATTCAAATGAACAGCTTTGTGACTTGAAGGTATCCTCTGATGCGTTTGAATAGGGACTGGTACTTTCATTTGTCTGACCGTTTTGTGTGCCCGTTGAAAATCGCAAATTATATTCCCCTTCGTACTTAATATAATGTATTATGATTTGTGTTAGGTATCCTCTGTTTTGTTTTATCTGTAGTATTAGGGTGAACCCAGCATGTGTTTTATTATCCTGTTGCACTTCATTCCCCAACGCAGTATTAAATATATTTTTTTCAATTACACTCTATCTCTCCCTATTTTTAACAATAGATATTAATGATAATTACCTATTTTTTACCTTAATTTTTTATTTTTTGTACCTAGTACTTTTCATTATGAACAAGAAAAATATTACACCTAAAAATTAAAATCTCTATCATTGTTTCCTTAATACACGTACAAATAAAATAAAAATAGAGGTAGTATAATTTTTTGGTATTCATACTCCATCAATATTATATTACACGCTTGCTATTTAAAACTGTCTCGACTATATCTGCATTTTGATTCCTCTAAATTATTTCGCCATGTCCCTATTATTACTACTACGTATTTCAACGTTTAGTCCGTCACGGGGCCGGCAAGTTACGGGAAAAAAAGAATAAAAGAAAAAGGACAACAATGTTTCATCCGTTTCCGAAAATGATCCAATCAAACATATCATCCATATTTTCTTTTGCCCGTCCATTCCTATAATCTTTTATTGAGTTCTTCTTTTGATGAAATTAGTAAGTTTATATCATATTGAAAAGGATTAAGGAGATTCATCAGAAGATGACAATCGAGAATCCCATTAGCACTTATATAAATGATGGAATGTAAAAAAACATCAATTTGTTCAAACCAAGAAAAAGTCCTTTTAAAGAGCTTTTCAAAATGGCAAAAAAGATGGCCGCCGATGTGGCTGTGGTAATGGTTCCACTTCCAGCTCAAGGCCACCTCAACCAGCTCCTCCACCTCTCCCACCTAATCTCCGGCTATGGTTTTCCGGTCCACTTCGTCGGAACCCCGACCCACAACCGCCAAGCCCGGGTTCGGGTTCATGGATGGGATCCAAAAGTCACTTCAAAGATCCAATTCCACGACTTCCCGGCACCTCCTTTTCCAACTCCGCCGCCAAACCCGAACACCTCCGACAAGCTCCCCGTGCAACTCTTCCCTTCCTTCCACGCAATCATACATCTCCGGCAACCCATTTGTGAGCTGATTCAAAAACTCTCGGTGACATCCAAGAGGGTGGTTGTGATTCACGATTCTCTTATGGTCTATGTTATCCAAGATGTTCCTACCATAGCAAATGCCGAGTCTTACACTTTCCAAAGCGTATCGGCTTTCGCAATGTATACTTACTATTGGGAAATGGCCGGAAAACCGGTTATTGTTAACGGCGAAACCATAAACGACCTCTTGATTAGTGTTCGGGGAGGTGACTTCCCCAAGGAATTCGCAGAATTTATGCAGCTTCAAATTGAATCAAGAAAACATAATTGGGGAAATCTTTACAACACGAGCAGAGTCATTGATGGAGAATTTCTCGATTCAGTTGCCCAGGAGCCGCCGTATTCTGCAGAAAAACATTGGGCAATTGGTCCGTTTAATCCACCGGACACAACTAAATCAAGAGCATCGGAAAAACGCCACAATTGCTTAGAGTGGCTTGACAATCAGCCCACCAATTCAGTCATCTTCGTTTCTTTCGGGTCGACAACCTCGTTGTGCGACAAACAAATTAGAGAAATCGCAGTCGGATTGGACAATAGCGGGGCGAAATTCATCTGGGTTTTGAGGGATGCTGACAGAGCAGACGTTTTTTTGGAGGAAACCCGGAGAGCCAGTTTACCAGAAGGGTATGAAGAGAGGATAACCAGAGAAGAAAAAGGGATTATAATAAGGGATTGGGCACCCCAATTGGAAATCTTGGCCCATTCATCTACTGGTGGATTCATGAGTCATTGCGGGTGGAATTCGTGCATTGAGAGCATCAGTTTTGGGGTCCCGATGGCGGCGTGGCCGATGCATTCCGACCAGCCGAGAAATGCAATTCTGGTGACCAAATACCTTAAAATCGGGATAAGGGTCGGAGATTGGGGACACGAAGGTGAATTAGTCAAAGCGGATGAGATTGAAGAAGTGGTGAAGAGATTGATGAACTCCGGCGAAGGGGAAGAAATGAGGAAGAAAGCAGCCGAAATAAGGGAAGAAATTAAGAAACCTGTAGAAAAGGTTGCTGATGGCAATTCTGGAACTACCGAAATGGATGCTTTCGTTGCTCACATCACTCGCTAGATTTGTTGGGTACTTTTGTTCTGAAATCATTTACTATCTGTTTTGCTAAATACTCCTGTCACAAGCGTATCCACTTTGGATTTTCTATTTAAGTATAACTAGATGTTTGGCCCAGGCAGATGCCCGGGCGCCCCTCCTAAATTACTATTTTATTAAAATCTAATTGAATTACTATTTTTTGAGGAATTAATTTGGCGTATATATCATTTATGCTATGATTTGGGGCTTAAAAAAAATACCTATAAATATGAGGTTATAAGGGAATAATAAATAATTAGTTTATAAGGCATTATTCTTAATTGCTGGATTTAGATATTTTTATTTTTTGTTTATATTAAGCCTGCAAAACTATACGATTGGACATTTGAATTTGAATTAATATATCCATTCGTTTGAAATGTAACTGATCCTTATTTGTAGTAAAACATGTGTTTTTTTTTAAAAAAAAATATATAACTTCTAATTAAAAGAGACTTACACGTGGCAAAAAGACTCCTGAAATCTGAAATATGGTGCTTTGGAGCCAAAACAGATGCATACTTAGTTGCCACATAAGCTTCATGTCTTCTGCTTTAATAGGGTAAAAGGGATGTGTACTAAAAGTGAAATCACATATTGAACAATAATTTCGTGACAGAGAAAATAATTTATTTATTCTTCCTGTTCTATAAAAGTGGTCCACGTTGATTTTGAAATTTGTATCATTTTCAATTAGAATTATTTTCTTAAGATAAAGAAAGTAATTGGGCAAAATATGATGAGCATTTATGAAGAATTTTGGGCGAAAACATCACCAAAAATCTATTGACCTAATCCTAAATTGAGATACATCTAATTATAGTTGCTCTAAAAAAATTAAATCGTTTCTATGATAATATAATATATGTTTTTCCGTCCGAAAATTTATGTAGCCTTTCTCTAAAATAGGGTACAAGCAATAGTGTTACAATTATTCACTGACTTATAGCATTGATCTTAGCCCCTTTGAATTGTCGTTTATTTTTTGTATCCTTTGCCATTGTGTATGTACCAATAGACCTGAGATGTGTTTAGACAAACAAACAAGATTGTCCAAACCATGCCATTGCGAGCCGACACCAATGGTTGTTGGTGAATAGAAACAATTGGCTTCTTTTTTCTTAGATTTAGTAACCAGATCATTTGACAAGATAGATTATTAACAATTGATCGAAAGAAAGGCAGAAGATTTGAAGAACTGCTTTTGTTTTTAATGTCTCATCATCTGTCAAAATTCTGAGTTACACGCATATATATTTACAGAGCTTGCTGAAAAAGAACTACCAAATTTACATATTAAGGACCTATTCGGAAACTACCAAGAAGCTGCCAAAGTGATTAGATAAGATCAAGCGGATTTGTCCTGTATATAAGCCTGAATTGGATGCAAACCACAATCAGCGTACTCCTGTGCTCCATCAAGAGGTGTTGGGATCAAAACTTGGGATAGAAGTTTCATTTATAATCCTTCACCCCTTCCTCAAGATGAGCGTTCCATAAGCTCATCTTGGACATTAAAAAGGTAAAAGCTCCAACTGAAAGAGGTTTAGTATAAAAATCTACCAACTAAAGAGAAGAAGCAACATTTAAAGGGAGCAGCAATCCGTATTTGTATTGATCTCGAACGACATGGCAGTCGATCTCGATGTGTTTGGTTCTTTCGTAAAAGAATGGATTGGTAGTGATATCCAGTGCAACCTAATTTTCACAATAGAAGGGGACTGGTAAAGGAGGAAAGATTGAAAAATCTCGGAGCATGTACAGGATCCATTGTAGTTCTCTTGTTGCTACTGCCATTGCTCTATACTCAGCTTCTTCTGAGGAGCAAGAGATTGTATTCTGCTTCTTTGTTATCTGGCTGATCAAACTATCGCCAAGAAAGATACAGTATCCAGTTAAGGAATGCCTTGTTGTTCTATAGGAACCCCAATCTGAATCACTATAAACTCTGACATCAAGGGAAGATTTGGAAGGATAGAAAAGACCTTAATCAATGCTGCCAGACAGATGCTTAAGAAGATGATGAGTAGTGTTCCAGTGAGACAAATGTGGCTTCTGCACATGTTGACTGAGTTGTTGCACTGCATAAGTAATATCTGGTCTTGTGTAATTTAAGTATAAAAGGCGACCCATCAATCTTCTGCACGACATAGGATCAGAATAAAGAGGTGTAACATCTTGATCTTCTGAGACAAAGTGCAAGCCTGGAGGATGGAGTAGAGGTTGGTGTACTGTCAAGAACAACAGTTGAGGCAAAAAGATCCTTGATGTACTTACACTGATGAATGTAAATACCAGCAGAAGATTTTGCAATTTCCATCCCAAGGAAATATTTGCATGACGTAAATGCTTTATGGTAAATAGATCATTCAAGTAAACTTTCATCTTAGCAATTTCAGTGGCATCCTTTCCAGCAATAAGAGTATCATCTACATATATCAGAAGGTAGAGCTCACATTCTTGATCAACATAAATAAACAGACAAGGATGATGATACGCCTGTTTGAATCCATAAGCAATCAATTTAGTGGAAAACTCTTGATGCCACTATCTTGAAGCTTGCTTCAAGCCATACAGTGATTTCTTGGGCTTACAAACCTGTCTTGGTTGTGCTTTATTATAACACAAGGGTGGAAACATGTATACATCTTCTTCTAGACTACCATGCAGAAAAGCATTGTTGACATCTAGTTGGTGAACTGACTATCCTTTCGAAGCTAAAATTAGCAAAAATCATACGAACTGTGACCATCTTTGCAACTGGTGAAAATACTTCACAAAAATCCTCCCCTTCAATTTGAGTGTATCCTTTGGCTACAAGCTTGCTTTTTAACGATTCATTGTTCTATCTGCATTTCTCTTGACCTTGTAGACCCATTTAGATCCCACAGGTTTCTTTCCAACAGGCAATGAAATTAACTCCCAGGTGTCTTTAGATTCCAAAGCTGTAAGTTCATCATTCATTGTTTCAACCCATCTAAGATTTACTCTGGCTTGATTATAAGTATTAGGCTCAGTTGAATCAGACATATATGCAACAAATGCACTATATGCAGGTGTAGGAATGTAAGATGATCCGATGGATGGATTAATGCAAACAAAAGAAGTTTCATAGTAAGCGATCTAGACAGGTGGTCTTCTGTCTCTTATACTGATTCTAGGAGGAGGAGGGATCAGTGTGTTACTGGCAGGATCAGAAGAAGAAGATGGTGTATCAGAATTGATTGAAGAAGAAGATGAAGGAGAATGCTCTAAGGAATGAGAATTTTCAATTGAAGTGAAATCCCTTGATGAAGAATTATGACTTTCATGAAGATGATCAAAAGGTGTAGGATTGATAGAGGACTGATCATATTCATCTTGAACTGGTTGATCAAAACAAGTGATTGCAGACTGACTTTGGGAAGTGGAAGGGTATATATTCTCATGAAATAAGACATCTCTTGAAACAATAGTTTTGTGCAGTGAAGGCACATATATTTTACACCCTTTTTGAGAATGTGGATAACCTATGAAAACTCATTCAAAAGAACGTGGATCAAGTTTATCTCTGTTGGGACCATTGTTTAAGGCATAAACTTTACAATCAAAATTTCTTAAGACAGATAGATCAGGTTTGCAACCAAACAGAATTTCAAATGGTGATTTCCAACCAAGGACAACAAAAGGAAGTCGATTGATAAGGTAAGTGGCAATGAGTAAAGCATCCCCCCAAAAGGTTTGTGGGCAATTTTGATTGCAAAAGAAGATATCTTGCAAGCTGAAGTAAATGTCGATGTTTGCATTCTACTTCACCATTTTGTTGTGGTGTGTAGACACATGATCGCTGATGTATAATGCCATGCTCAAGGAAAAGTTGAACACAACCTTCATTAAGAAATTCACTACCATTATCAGTTTGAACTTTCTTAACCTTAGCTTCAAACTGAGTTTCAATGCATTTTGAAAAATTGAGAAATTAATGAAGTGACTTGAGTCTTATGCTGGAAAAGGAGGGTCCATGTACTACGACTGAAGTCATCTACAATAGTAAGAAAATATTGGGAGTTTGTGAAAGATTTGATTCTGTAAGGACCCCATACATCAAGATGTAACATTTCAAAGCACTATTTAGATTGAATAGATCCAGTAGGAAATGATAATCTACTTTGTTTGGACAATGGACAAACGTTACATAGTTCCAAAATACTTTTGCTATGAAGTAAAGGAGTACAAATATCACCGTTTGAATTGACTAATTGTTGCATAACATGGAAAGATAGATGTCCCAATCTAGAATGCAGCAAACTTGGTGAAATAACAGTGGTACAAGCACTGTGAGAAAATTGTGAAGCTTGAAAAGATGGTGTTGAGGCTTGAACATGAAGAATGTAAGATGAGTTGAGTTCCTGTGACTGCTGAATGGCTTGGGTGGTAAATGAAGTCTCATCCAAAATATATAACTCTTTGACCACTCTACTAGCTGGAAGGATCTTTCCTGTACTAAAGTCCCGCAGTAAATAAAAATCAGCAAAGAATTTAAAATAATTTTTGATGTTTTGGCAAGTCCTCTAACTGACAACAAGTTATACTTAAAACCAGAAAATGCATACAGGAACCTAGAGTAATTGATTCTGAAATTTTAATATCCCCAAAATGAGTTGCATGCTTAATGTTGCCATCAAGGAGTAATATAGGAGTAATTGTAGGATGATGTCATGATAAATGCATTAAGGAAAGGCTAGTGCACATATGCCCTGTAGCTCCTGTGTCTGTTATCCAAGGTTTTGGACTTATAAAATCAGAAACAAGAGAGTTATACATAAGGAGAGTTGTACTACCTAATATATCATGGAAATGGGCCATATTCACTTTATGATTCTCTACAAGATCAGCAACAACTTTTCCCTTTGTGATCCTGTCCAATTCAAATTGCATTGATGTAATCATATATTGAAGTTAATCTGAGCTGACAGCAGGACTACCCAGAGGTGAAGTCATGA